ACGTCGAGGTAAGGGTCGCGGACATTGTTTGTGCAGAACGTTTCTGCGTCTTGGCAGATGGCATTTACGCTGGCATTCGTGCCAATATTCTCGGGGTCGTAAAGGGAAGAGACTTCACGACAGGCGTCGATGCGGTCGCGGCAGCCGCCTTCACGGTAGTATGCGTCCACCATGCCAGCATATACTGTCTCGTTGACTGTTTCGATTCCATAGGTGTTGTTGAAGGCCATCTCAGGGTACGAAGGCCACTGGACCTGACGATCGATGCAGCCGTTCACGATGAGCAAGGTGTCAAGATTGAGGATGTACTGTTCCCCTTCGGTACCGTCCCATGTTCCATTCTGAATCTTCTCATTTTGTTCCTGGAAGTATGCAGCAAAAGCAGGTCCGTAGCGTCCGCCATACGATTGGGTGGCGATGCTGATGCGGTCGTTGTTCGGGTGGTAGCCTGGAAACTCCTGGAACCAGACCTGCGAGAAGTGCCAAAGTGCAATGGCGGCGTTGCGGCTGCCCCAGGATGTGGTGTTGCGGTTATCTACTGGGAGAGTGCCCGTTTGGAATGTCACGTTTTGGGCTGGGATCGGGGAAGATGCGTTCAGGGTTTGAGTGCTTCCGAAGAGGTTGCGGGTCACGTTGCGGAGAGTATTGTAGGAGAAGCCGACTTGGACAGGTTGGTCGATGTAGAGCATGTTGACTTCTCAGATTAGCCACGCATACGAATCAAAGATATTCAGAGTACGCATACCGTGGTTATTCCATGACCATTCGCTGGGTCGCGTGGAGTTGGAGTCATTGTTGATGTAGCACGGCCCGTTCTCGTTGAACAGCCCCGGCATTGACGAGCTGCCCGGTCCACCGTTCATCCAGATTGAAAGTGGCGCATTTTCAGGATCTTCTTTGGCCTCGAAGAACCAGAAAAATGTGTTGATCTCGTAGTCTTGCTCTTGACCCACTCCCTCGAGAGTGCCGGGCGGGAGGTGGATGTAGCCGGCGTATGACTTGACACCCTCGGTTTCCTCACAGAGATTGGGCTACGGCCGTTAGGTGTTGTCCGTAAAGACGGGATCAGAGCGAGTACCTCTTTGTAGGATATCGTGATGTTTTCGTCAAACTTGGACTTGAGGACTGTGACTCCTTCAGGCGTTGGCGGGAATTGGGCCAGCGAAGACTGGATCAAAGCTGTCGCGACGGCGACAACCGAGAAAGACTTCCGCATCCTGTCAACGATGCTCAAGCTATGGCCGGCTTCAGATCCAAGAAAAAGAGATTGCAAGATCTTTCTGGCGCGGCATCTGGGGGAGGACGAGCAATCGCTATATGTCATTAACTCTGATTTTCCCCGCTCATGTTGATTTCTGACCTTCCTACTTCGGCGCTTGGTGCTCAATGATTCACCATCATCGTGCGCTTATGTACGGAGGTTGCACCGCCAAGGAGGTCGTATCAAGCTTGCCCGGAAGCCGATTCGGTTCTCTGGTGAGAGGGGCAGGGGGTGGGTGCGGGGTCGCTAGGAGACCCGGAGGAGGCCAAGACTCGGCTGCGGGATGCGTTGAGTTGGCGGATGAATTGGCCAATGGGAGTGATTGATCGAAGCTTTAATTCCCGCTTTGAATGCACCGCTGGGACAAAAAGTCCTTATCAAACATCCTGCTCATCCGGGTGCTGGTGATCCTCATGGTGCATCATGGTGAACGTTGTGTACAGCCGAAAATTGAATACAGGACAACAACGACGACGACGGCAGCTGCGACAACGATCATCCTAGCGATAACAACGAAACAGAAGCTTCAATCATCGCGACGACAATATTCAGGATGATGGGACGGCCGATGACCAAGACACCAAGAACAACAGTCTGAAATAACAGATAAGATGAGTAAGGAGTACTCCGTCCGGCTAAGTGGAAGCATCCGTTCGGATAGCACTTCCTAACTTCAGACAAGACAGCCGCACTCGCGTTCAATGATGATTCGCATGAAAAGCCAAGATCTCATGAAGCCCAGATCATCACTTTGAAAGAATAGCTGGCACTGAGGTTGGAGTCCTTGCGTTTCCGTTATCATCCGGACTCAGCTCCGAACGGCCCGAGCCAGAGTGGATTTCGACCGGGACCGGTAGGTGGGAACCCCCCGCTCGGTATTCGGGTCGGGGGCCGGCATGGGAGGTGGATCGGCACGCAAAGCTTGAGGCTTACTCATACGCAAGGTCCTACGTGCGGAGGTCTCGGCGTCTGCCTCACTTTTGCCGATAATGTTGTCGAGATCCGGGACCAGATTGGCCTGTGATTGCGACATACCTGGGGGAATGACGCCGCCGAATCGCGTTTCAGGGTTCCCCGCAAAGCCGGAACACAACGAAGATGACGCCTTTCCAGCTCGGGATGGCAAACAGCTGGAAGCGCACCACAACCACTGAGAGGCATGGTGTTGGTCGTCAACTATGTGTGAAAGCATCCTTTCTGACAAATGCAATATTGAATAATGGCGCGGTGATTGGCCCGCGGAGATGTTGTTGGGGAATTCTATGTACACTTGACCTCGGATGCGCATGCCGTCTCGAATCATGATTCGATCGTCCCCACTAACTAACGGATGTTTGAGTCAACATTAGGGCGTGTTTGACCTCGTGAGGGCGATGATATAAACGTGTAAAAGCCGGCCTTCGATTTTACTACGATCTCATCAAGCAAACCTCTCAGACCATCATCAAAATGGCCGCCGCTGCAGTTCAAGCTCCTCTCCTCACAGGACCTCCTGGTCAACCTGACATTGGCTACGCGCCTAACCACGACAACTACCTGGCAAGGATTCAGCGCCGTCACGAGCAAGAAAAGCTGAACAATTCTCTCCCCGACGGGTTTCCTCAAAAGTTGGAGTCAAAGCTCGTCTGGGATGGCAACACTTTGGCTGAGACATACGACTGGAACTATGTGTTAACGGATGCCGACAAGAAAGAGGTCGACGAAGCTCTCCAGCACTTCAAGTGTATGTGAATAACGCATGTTCGTCAACCTGGACCGTTTGAGTAACTCTCCTTGCAGCACTGAAGAAGCCCCTTGGTGAGATTAACCAGGAGACATTTCCGCTGCCCAATTTGCACAACACTCTTCGCGCCATCTCCGATGAGGTTCACAACGGCCATGGCTTCAAAGTCGTGCGCGGAGTACCAGTCACCAAGTACAACCGCGAAGAGAATGTGATCATCTACGCCGGAATCTCATCTCATGTCGCACCCATCCGCGGGAGACAAGACACTCAATTCAGCGGCGAGCCGGCGGACGTTGTCCTCGCTCATATCAAGGATCTCACCAAGGTCGTTGACGCTCAAAGAATCGGGGCACCCGCATACACCACCGACAAGCAGGTATTCCACACCGACTCAGGTGACGTTATTGCACTTTTCGCCCTTGGCGAGGCTGCTGAGGGCGGCCAGAGTTACCTTTCAAGCAGCTGGTTTGTCTACAACGAGCTCGCTAGAACGCGGCCTGATCTGATCCGTACTTTGGCGGAGCCTTGGAATGCTGATGAGTATGCGATCATTTTGTTACATAACCAGCCTCAACACTCACATTATATACAGGTTCGGCAAGGACGGCAGGTCGTACAGTACCCGACCTCTGCTACACTTCCAACCATCAGAAGGCGACAAGCCAGAGCGCTTGATCATCCAATATGCACGAAGAAGCTTCACCGGGTACTGGGGACTTCCCCGATCGTCTGACATTCCTCCCATCACGGAAGCTCAGGCTGAAGCCCTCGATGCCTTGCACTTTACCGCTGAGAAGTACCGAGTATCCCTCGACTTTCACCAAGGAGACATTCAATATGCGAACAATCTGAGCATCTTCCATGCACGTGGAGGGTTCGTTGACTCCGAAGAAAAGCAGTAAGTCGAAGACCATTGGACGACCCGTCAGCTGAATTAATGCTTACACTTTGGCCAGGCGTCACCTCACACGCCTGTGGCTTCGAGACCCCGAGCACGCATGGAAGACGCCGGATGCGCTGAGGGAGAGATGGGACAGAGTGTATGCTGGAGTAACTGCGGAGAAATCAGTGTTCCCTTTGGAGCCGCAGATTCGCAGTGCTAGTCGAGGTGAATTTAAGCCAGAGAAAGAGGACGCAAAGGCGTAGATAAAGGAAACGTCTAATAGTAGGCCTGGCCAATTGCCTCTTGTTCGTTCGGCTGCCTTCGCGCCAGGTGCATCTCCAGCGAGCCAATGAATGAAAGAGGTTCAGAGACAAAGTATCATCCCACGTCAAATGTAATCGAATTGACAATCAAGAAGTAATCTCCTATCTCATGACTCGCTCCATTCAGTATTGCCCATTCATGGCTGATTGAATGTCAGTTTCGAGTTGTAAGATTGCGCAGCACGATCGCATCTTCCCAGGACCGGATGACGTCGTCACGGCATGGCACCAATCGGGCTTGGCCTCCGCGGCCTGAACCAACTCCGTCTACTTAAGCCGACTGCGACTAAGGGTATCTGCAAGACGTCTGGGAATACATCGGGCCAACCAACACACCATCAACACCTGAGCTAAGACAACTCCAAACCTTATCATCCCGCCTGTCGTTGGATTGCTACAACTGACCCTACAATTGCGTTATCGGGACCCTGGAACGCACCGTCGCAACCCCCCCACAGTCCGACGCGAAGATAGCGACCTGGTGCCGGCTTCAAGTATCGGTATCAATCAGCATCGCATCTAGGCGCTGCATTGGTGATTTCGTTCTGGCTTTACGGGGATGCAGGCACCCTCGACCCCGGGAGATAATGCAAGCTGGCGTAGGCGCATGGGTCTGTGGGTTGGGAAAACGGCCGAGGCCGAGATGGTACCCCGCGGGATACCATGATGTTGGTGTTTACATACATATACTGCCATCCGATCGTCCAATGTATGAAACTCCTGAGTTCAGTGCGTTCAGTTAGGTCGCCTCCTCAGTTTACTTCATCGCTGCTGTCTTTCTGCTTTTGACTACAGACTGTTCACACGATGTCTTTCCCACGGCGACCTTTCAAAAGTCGCGAGAATGAAGAAAGCGTCGACGCAAATTCGGGCCATGAGTCGGACGTTACCGATGGGAGCCTTCACTATGTGGTCGAGAAAGGCGGAAACGACTCGGGCCCGTCGTACCAGGAGGCAACGGGTGCCCCAGTTGAGACGAGTTCGCCGTTAGGTTATGCTGTCGGGCCCGTCACCATCGTCTTTCTCAACGTGAGCAAGATGATTGGAACTGGTGTCTACTCCACTCGTACGTCGCAGCTATTCCCGTGTTGACATTTACACTGACAGGCCGCAGCTTCCGCCATCCTGAAGGGCACTGGTTCAGTAGGGCTGAGTATGATCTACTGGGCCCTGGGATTCCTGACCTCGATCGCCTCCTTTTCAGTATACCTCGAATTCGCTTCGTACTTTCCAAACAGGTCCGGCTCCGAGGTGGTCTATCTGGAACAGGCATATCCGCGACCGAAGTGGTTGTTTCCCACGGCATTCGCCTTCCAGTCTGTGGCACTGTCTTTCAGCAGTGGCAATGCTATCGGTAGCCAGCCATATCCTTTTCTCTTGTATCTCGTTGCTAATTAAATTCAGTCCTTTCTCAGTATTTGTTCAAAGTAGCTGGGTCGACTCCAGGGCCTTGGCAGTTGAAGGGTGTGGCGGTGGCTGGATACACTGTCGCCACATTAGGTGAGCTGACCTCGCAACTTTGAGGCATGATTTGTCCCAACTTACTGACTTTGGCCTTCTCAGTTGCTGCTTTGCACAATAACTTCGCTTACCAGTTCTCCAACGGAGTCGGCGCCGTCAAGCTTCTGACGCTTGTCTTCATTGCCATCACTGGATTGGTTGTACTAGGAGGCCACACCAAAGTCCCTGAGCCGCATGCAAACTTCGAGAACTCATTTGATGGTCAAGCGACGGCTTACGGCTTGACAAATGCTCTTTACCGAATCATTTTCTCGTATGCCGGTTTCGAGAACGCCTTCAATGTCGTAAATGAGGTTAAGGTATGTTCAATGATGATTGGACAGTTCGACTCTTTGACAATGGTCTGTACGTCAGTTCAGAACGCTGACACGGTGACATTCAGAACCCAGTGAAACAAATCAGGAAGTACGGGTGGATTTCTCTTGGCATTGTGACTATCCTCTACATCTTAGCCAACATTGCCTATTTCGCCGCCGGTACGTCTTGGTCAATACGCTTGTGCCGTCTTCAGGCGATATTGACTCACTTTGAACAGTACCGAAAGCGGACTTGGCAGCAGCCGAACAGATTGCAGCAAGTCTGTTCTTCACCAACGTTTTCGGTTCCAGCGGTGCGGTCAGGGGGCTCAATTTCCTCATTGCCTTGAGCTCCTTCGGCAATCTCTTGACGGTGCTGATTGGATCTTCCCGCATGTTACGAGAATGTGGAAGGTATGATGAAACTAATCATCTTATAGAAGATCATACTAATGGAGCTTCTTTCTCAGACAGGGTGTTCTGCCCTATCCTCGGTTCTGGGCGTCCACAAGACCTTTCGGCACGACCCTGGGTCCTTATCTCGTCAAATACATCTTGACTATTATCATGATTGTCGCTCCTCCCGCCGGCGACGCTTTCAATTTTAGTATGCTTTATCCATCGCTACTCATTCTTTTGAGAGCTTGAGAACTAACTTAAATCAAGTCGCCGATCTCCAGGTCTACCCTTCCGCATTCTTCGGTTTCGTCATGTCAGTGGGGCTCTACGTCGTGCGCTGGCGTCGCAGTCGCCTCAATCTTCCTCCGCCTGAGTTCAAAGCATGGGAGGTCATTATCATCTTCAACATCGCAAAGGACTTGTATCTCCTCATCATGCCTTGGTACCCCCCTGAGGGTGGCGTGTTTGCCGGCGATGTGAGCTTCTGGTATGCCACATACGTCGTTGCCGGCATCGGCATGTGAGTTGGCCCCAGGAAAACCGGCATTGATGAAGAACTCGAACTGACAACAATTATTAGTCTTCTTGGCTGTGGTGTGTACTACTGGCTTTGGATCTACGTGGTCCCGAAAGCGAGGGGCTACCGTATCAGGCAGCAGGTCTTGGAGCTGGCCGACGGCGCTCAGAGTCACAAGCTTGTCAAAGTCCCGGTTGCCGACTTAGCTGAATGGGATGCCACGCACGATCACGTTGGACGGCCGCTGCAACAAGTTCCAAGTGTTCCAGGATCCGAGGAAGAAAAGAAGCCAGTAGCTGTGTGAGGTTTGAAGGATTCAGGAGCAATAATCAGCAATCGGCTATGGTGGCGGGAGATAGATAGTTGTTCATGTCCGTCAGCATTTAGCCACCCATCCATCAACAGTTATGTTTCCTATGATCTATTAATCTAAACCACGGAGGAAATAAGAATGAGGCAGCCAAATAAGACGTCATGATCCAACCTTGGTAGGTGTCTTGGTTGCCGCAGGTGCCGTTACTATCACCACAATTTTGTCGTGATCCTTTAGTAGAGGGTCTGCGACGAAACTTCTATTAGGTCATGATTAGATTCTTGGTTTGCAGTATTGATGTAGTATCTAGTTGCCAACTCAACGTCCCAGACGCACTCTCCGATCTCTCCCAGTATTAAATTCAAGCCTTGCAGGTGTTGCAGTTAGCCCGAGTCCAATTGTATCTCCAGTTCTCGTCCTTCTTGCTCTGATCCATCACGCCATAGCTGATATCCATGCAACATGCCAGCTGCGCTCCATTGCAGGTGTAGCCCGGCCAGGAGGTGGTGCACGTGGCACTAGCGCTAGCGGCGAAGAAGGCAGCAGCGATGGCCGCGGCGAAGCCTGTGATCTGCATGGTAGGCTAGGTTTTGGTCTAGTCACCAACTTAGTCAAAGCTTGTTTGCACAAGAACTTGTCATTGCACCTACAGTGATAATTGCGATATAGACTATGTATTATTAATATGGTTCGCAATTTTGTTGATTTGGCAAAGGATGATGGTGGTTGTAGGAAGATCATTTGACTTAAGGTTCTGGCGCACCCTTTATAGTTCGGTCAGTTATGCCGGCCAAGGCGAGAACAATTTGTGTGTAGAACTTCCAATCTATCTCAAATGATAGTGGATTGTTCTATAGTATGATTGTGTCGGAATTCAGGAGTAATTCGTATTTTAGAGTTATCCCGCCGGCTAAGAAGTCATAGTAGCGGGCTAGAACCATCTCCCGTCGGTTGGACCATGACTCTGATCCTGGGAAGTGCTGGTCAGCCTGTGGATACAGGATATATGAACAGATTGTCTACTGTTGATAGGTTGACATTCTACTCTTTGCTTGAGCAGGGCGAACATTCTCTGACTTGGCCATCAGAAGAAACCCCTCACGCAACACATGTGGTGTTTGATTATCGTCAGTGAACTCCACTGCTTATATCCGAGCTGCCCACGGCAATTCAAACGCTGCACGTCCTCATGAACCAATACTGGGTTCACTCGACAAACCCAAAGAACTCCACATAGCCGGCTAGATGTGACATGAACGATGCAAGAGACCGCCAGTCTAGCCGCTTGGAGATCACAACTGCTGTTGGAGAACACCGAGAAGCATAGGGACGTGGCACAACAAGCCGTCCGCATACGAATTTGCGGCATGCATGTCGTTCATGACGACTTCGGACACAGTGTAAGACCACTACAGGAGCATGCCAAGTTCGACGTGTACGTCTGCATGTGCGATAAGACAAGCTACTCGCTGGAGTTTCATGACAGTACATTCATACCTCTTCATCCCCTTCATGTAACAAGAAGCTGGAAATAACATGCCAGCACCCAAGCTTCTGACGAATAAATTCTAGACATTGCCTTTGTTCGATTACAGGATGCCCAAGAAACGATCAGCGGTCGACATTGAAGTCAATCATTCTGAGCAGCATACTAGCTATGCAAATAGCCTCCTTCATCAACTAGCCAGACGCCCGGGCCCAGCGACGCAATTTGACTACTTGAGAATGGGGGAAAAACGCAGCCATGTTGCTTCGCATACTCATGACACAGACAAAAGCTGGGCAAACTCTGTCATGGAGGAAGGTCAACTTGGGTCTAAGTCTGTAAATTTCAAGAAAAACTACACCTAAATGATCGAGGTTAAGGAAGAGGAAAATGTCCCTTGCAAGTGCTTGTCAGCCACGTCTTGTGGGGCCTCATGGAGCACCCGGAGCCCTGTCGCCTGGAAGGGTGCTCTTAATGCTTGTCGCGCTGATTTAGAGGGAAATTTGCCATGTCAGGTGTTGACAACCTGATTTACATTCCGTTCTTGAGAGTTGGACTCGAGTAGTTGATCTCGGTAACGATCACTCGTGGAAGGCATTGCATTTGAGTTCGAGCTCACTCTTCGTCTTGAGAATTGTCACGCACACTGCTCATGCCTGCCACTTTTGCATCGTAAGAAATTAATTCTTTGGGGAAATCATCTGGTATGGACCTGGAAAGGGTATTCTGCAACCTTTGCAACCGAATTCCGCTTGCGCTCTCGGATCGTTAAATGATCTTCTCATCCATCCCACCCTCTCAGGAGTTATTAGTATTGGAAGCGCCATCTAGGGTCTTTGTCACCGGGCCAGTCGTTCAAGTCTCCAATAGCGTTGACTTCCTCGGCAATTGCTTCACGCCTCTTGTTCTCTCCCTTGAGAACGAAGTACAAGACAGCACAGACCGCAATGTTGGCGATCAGGTATGCCAAAGCCAGAGAGTGACCGACAATGTACCGCGGCCCGTCATTCGAGCGATACAGCTGGGTGCCCATCACCGCGCCGAGGTTGCCAATGGTGATCTGCATGGCATTGCCCACGGCGCGCTTGGTCTGGCCAGAGACGTTGATGGCAGGCCAGGAGAGGACCAGGGCAGTAGCAGGGTAAATGCCACCGGCTGCGAAGAAGGTTCCGAGATATGAGACACCAGGCTTCCCCGCGGGGTCGGTGTTGGCGAGGAGGATGATGTAGCCGATGGCTGCGAAAGCGGAGGATCCCATGATGAAGAACGCTCTGCGACCGGTTCGTTCGGAGTAGATTGCGACGGTCAAGGTCGTGGCAAAGGCAAGAGCGTAAGGTGGAATCGTGAGCAATTGAGCCTTTGCAGCGGTGTATCCAAGGTTCTTGATAATGGTAGGCTAGCCAGGTCAGCTTTTGTTGCTCGTTGTGGGAACATTGATCACTTAGCACTTACCAAAAACAGAGAAAAGGTGTAGAGGGGCAGGCTCATGGTGTGAAAGCCCAGACCGTACAACCAACACTTCGGGTCCTTCAGAGCGTCCAACACGTAGGCCCACGTAAAGCGCTCATCGTGAGTGGCGTCGCTGTCGGCAGCCAGTCGGGCGCGGATGAAACGACGCTCCTTGTCAGATACGAATTGAGCAGTGTCGGGGTAGTTCTGGATGAACCAGTACGCGGCGACGGCAATGACGACGGTAGCAATGCCCTCCTGGTCACAGGATTAGTGTCATGGAGGTGTCAGGTGAAGTTGAGTACGAACCAATATGAAAATCCATCGCCAACCATTGGCCCACACGATTCCCTTCATGTGTCCGATGCCCTGACTCTTGTTAGCAAGCTGATTGATTGGTGATGATGTCAAAATACTTACCCATGCGAGGATACCACCGAAAGCACCTGCAAGAGAAGCAGCACTGAAGAAGAGGGAAATGCGATATTGCCGCTCTCGACGCCGATACCACATAGAGAAGTAGAAGACAACTCCAGGGAAAAGACCACTTTCCGTGACGCCAAGGAAGAATCTAGCAACAAAGAAACCGGCCATGTTGGTGCAGATACCCATCAGAGTAGCAACAACACCCCAGGCAATGGTCAGAGTAGGAAGCCAGAAACGAGGGGTCGTTCTCTTCAGGATGATGTTGCATGGGATCTAATTGGAGGTCAGAGACATGCGTCGGTAGTTTTTCAAGCCTTGAAAACGACCGCTGACCTACCTCGAAAAGAACATATCCGATGAAGTACAGGGTGAGACCAGTGAGATACTCATTTCCAGCTGGTGAAGGTCAGCTGGTCATCACACTTCAAAAGGTACCATGTCTTGCGAGGTCCGAACTCACTCATGTGCAGGTCGTCGGTGAGACCCTCGATTCTTGCGTTGCCAACTGCTCTTGTATCAGCATTTACGTCTCTCGAATTACTCTCACCATGGCTCACCATTGGATCGGTCGAGGAAAGAAAGCAGGTATAGGATTCCGACCGCGGGCAGAAGCTTTGCGTCAAGCTTCCGTAGCAATGCCTTTTCGTTCACAGCCTCCTCTCCAATCTCGATCTCTGAAGGACTCTCCGCTCCGCTGGACTCGTTCAGCGGCGCCTCCGACGCCTTCTCGGGCGCGAGGTCCGACTTCACCGCGCTCATCCTGAATGTTGGAAGAGCCTCGTTCGATTTGATGATTGATCTTTCGTGATGCTTTCTGCGAAAATTCCGTACGTAAAAGCCTTCTCTCGGTCGCGATCTCAGCCGTGCATCCACCTGAAGTCGATTTTGACGCGGGTTGTGTGTTGGGTGAAAACTCTATGGCCACGCGCACGGCTTTTCAATGCGGCCCCAGACGGATGCGAAGAGACCAGACGGCCGGGTTCAAATCTCTGCAGGCAATTAAGACACAAGATTGGCGAGGGAGAACCAGCTTGAATTGGGGGCCCTCGCCCCTCCTTGGTGGGTGTCATTGTGTCGAACCTACGCGTATCTGTGAGCGTTTCTCACTGCCGTTTTCCTGGGTGCGCATGGCATCATCGGTCCATGATGACATTTACGGCTCCTCATTCCAATTTCATCTTAGCTACCGTTGCAGATTGTCAGCGTCGAGTGGATTGCGCGATCGGTAGTGGGTGATGAAACACAAATTCTGTTGGTTGTGATTGGCTGTTGGCCCTTCAATGTCGGATCACGACATGTTGAAGCCGATGGCGACATCGTCGAACTGGGGCTTTTCCCCCAATTTTCTCCAACAACCCCCCAATTGTCGCTCTGTGATAAATAACACAGTTCGCTTGGCAAACATCGAGGTGAACCCCCACGTGTCGTTGAATGAGCTAACAAAATCTTGTTTCTCCGCGCGGCTGGATCTGACACCTGCAAGTGCCGGCGAACCGTTCGTGCGGGCGAACATGAGGCCGAGAAGAAGGTAGCTGTTAAATTGACGGGGTCGTTTTGTTAATTTGCCCGCGCTAACCACTTTTAGGTTAGCGGTCGGAATAAAGTATCGCTAGGTCTGGGTTAGAAGTACCGCTACTAACGTTAGAAGTACTACGCCTATATCCTACACTTAACAAATTATTTTTTCTCCCCTTTATATCACACTTCAGCAAATAGTCTTCTAAAAAGCCCTTAACTTTTTAGCGTACTAGACTTTAAATGTTAGAAATATTAGAAAACCTATTCTCGCGCCCGAAAAAACGCGTTTTTGATATTATATGCACGTTTTCGAGGCTTTCTAGAATAGCTAAAGATAGGTAAAAAGAAGGCCTGATTTTGTGTTGTTATAACAGATGCACGCGTCGGAGGTGGTACTTTGGGTACTTGTGCTTTTTTTCCGGCGGCGGCGGAAGGGTTCTTCCGCGAGATCCTTCTAAAAAGGGCTTAGCGCGGGCAAATTAACAAAACGACCCCGTCAATTTAACACTAACCGAGAAGAAAGCCGACCGGCCGTGATGCGGCCCCACTCCGAAACTTCGATGCCGCACCTGTCTCCACATATGTCCGATATACCCACAGTTGCGCATCGGAGCAACACGGACGATCGGCCCAAAGACCGTCATTCATACGGACACACTCAATGCACAAAAGTCTCAGTCTTTAGTTCTTCATCGAACTCAATCAGTATGTCACGTTCACTAACTGCTAATGCAATCGGGATCGCCCAGATGCATCTCAATTAGGAAAAGATTCATCTGCAGGCCCACGAGCGTTTAAGTCCGATAACCAAAACCCATTTCAAGTGAAATGAATCCGAAAGTAGCGGGAGGCTCGCAAATCATTGGCGAAGAACATTCACAAAGGCAAAAGGCAAAAGAGAAAACAAATTTTCCATCCCCGAACGATTTTATAATATTTCCTACTATACACTAACTATCCTTTTTTTGTCCTTTTCGGAAACCCTTTAAGAAATAAAAGCAAATGAACGACCTTCTATGCAAATAGTGAAAGATAACAGGCTAAGCGAGTGTTTGAACCAAGACCAACCAAGGAAACCATTCAGTCATCACAAGCGTCTGGTGTACAATCCCCCAAGCTCAAACTCGCACCCTCGATGAGTTTGGCTTCGCTCAAAGTTGAGCAGCAGTCGTAGGCAAGGCCATGGCCAAGGAAACCGCTTCGTATCCCCCGATCAGATCAGAGACCTGTGGGAGAGAGTAGTGGTCTCTCGGAGTTGGCGATGCATTTAGCAGGCGGTGTCGAAAGCGACGAAGGTCTGGCCGTTGGTAGGGGCAGGGAGCTGAGCAGCGGGAACGTTGAAGAGGCGGCACTGGACGGGCTCGTTGGCGGAAGGCTTGCCGAACTCAACAGCCTGGCAGCCAGAGGTCTGCTTGCAGAGAGCAAGGCAGGCGTCCTGGGTGGCGATGTCGGAGCGGGTGACCAGAGGGTTGGGGGCGCTGGTAGCAGGGCCGGTGGGGGCGGCGCCGCAGACGTTGCGCTTCTTGGGCTGCTCAGTCTGGCCGTTGTTGCCGGTCTGGCCGTTGTTGGCAGCCTGACCGTTGTTGTTGTTGGCCTGGCCGTTGTTGTTGTTGTTGCCGGCGCCGTTGTTGTTGTTCTGGGTGGGAGCGGCGGTAGGGACGCCAGTGCAAGCCTTGTCGAAGACCATCAGGTTAGAGTTGCTCTGGGGAGGAACCTGAGCAGCCGGGACGGCGTAGAGGTAGCAGAGGGGAGTAGTGCCGGTAGGGGGAAGGCCGAAGACGAAAGACTGGCAGCCGGAGTCAGCCTCGCAAAGCTTCTGGCAGGCGTCGGCGTTGGCCGCGGCAGGCTGGGAGCGAGGCTGGACGTCAGCGTTGACGGGGCCAGCAGGCGCGCTGTTGCAGGTGTTGGCGCGGATGGCGAGGGGGCCGGCCTGGGCAGCGGCGGCGAAGGCAACAATGGTGGCGATGGTGAACTGCATTTTGACTGTTGGGTGGGTGTTTAAAGAAAACTGGAAAGTTGACTGAAAGATGAGCGAAAGAGTGATGCTTGCTGAAAGAGCGAGTTAAGAGAGAGAGAAAGAGAGAGAGTAGGAAAGATGCTTGTGAAAGACTGTTGATTGGATTGGTTGTTGGTGGTGAGGAAAGAAAAGGTTGTGATTTCGGGGCGACGAAGGCAATCTTTTATATTCTTCGTGAGCAAGTATTTCGGCTCCTATTCCCACCACTTCCGCAGCCTATCGACTGACGATCTACGCAGAATGGACGTTTCGATGGAAATGGAATCTTACGACGCGCGTCTCAACACCGCCAGCCTTCGGCACAAGTGGGCGGAGAACATGATCGACATCACGGATGTCAAGCGGTGAAGTTGAGGTCCTCGTCACGGGCCTCACGGTTTGCAGGGAGTTGGGCGCCGTACGATGCCGCTGAGGCCGCCCCCAACCACTCAGATGGCACTTTCCATCTGATGTTTGACCTTTCACCATTCGCTTGACGTCTACAGCCTCAGCGGGACAGTTGGGATACTCCCGCGAAGTGGGAGAAAGTCCTGGAAAGTTTCAAGGGTTCATCCGGCATATTCATGCGACGAAGCAACAATTTTCCTATGCGTTTCCGTCTGTGGCTGGAAAAACACCCGATCAATCTGTAACATTCAAGCTTCGATTCGAGAAGCTGAGATTGATACTCTGGGGCAAGACCGACTTCGGCACTGGCATGATGCTTCCAGGTTTTTTCCGATATTCTCTCGTGCTTCCCCACGTTTTTCTGCTATTATTGGTAGTTGTCTACCAATGAACTGACTTGCAGCGCAGTTTCCGTGAGGGGGTTTCGGTACGTAACAAGCGAGTGACATTCCAATCGATAGTCAGACATCTTACGTTACCCGCTTCTGTGGCACGGGGAATTTGAAGCTTACTGCGTAGTAAGAAAGCCAAGCATGAGGCTCACGGCTAAACTGGCCCTGCCGGGCTGCCGGCTACGGGGCGCCGCTTGGCTTTCATTGGCAAACATGTCTGGGGACGTGCAATGGACTGGGATACCCTTGTTCTGTTTCCGCCCAAGCTTTGCGGCTCCCGACGCCTGTTCCCCCACATTCCAGAACGATTCCATCGCCCAGCCAATCCCAACGTTCAGGGGTAACGGTCAGGGGTTGCGTTTTTTTATTTTCTTGACATCTCTTTTCCCCTGAACAGCCTCTGCGACGTGGGTATCCTTCAAGTGATGTGGGCTTACGTTCTCAGCCATTCGCGGACCTCTGCCCTAACCGAGCCTGCTGAGACATGTTGGCCGCGGGGGAGAAGCCATAACGAGCCAAACAGTAGCAAGCCGCAGCAGCGCACAAACATTCCGAAAATATGCTTGCAATCTCCCCTAACTCTTTTGAAGTTAGGGCATAGCCATTAAGGCGGGGAACCTTCAGCAGTGCAGCCCTGCCTATAGCGGAGAAACAACTCTGTCTGTTATTAAGACGTGGGCCGCAGTCGTGAGGCTGAGCTTCCAAAGTCTGACCATCTCCTATTTCGGCGACTCGTGACCGGACGTCATTGGCGCAAATGCAGAGGTGACGAGTCCACCATGGGTGGTCATTGGGGGCTGAATTGTTCTTCAAGCCGAGCGGGTGAGCGGCATGCACGCACACGTGGAAAATGGTGAGTAGAGTTAAGTTAGGAAATTAGCATCGTGAGGGGTTGACTTTGTGCGTCGTCACCAAAGTAAAAATAGGCCCTCGGTTAAACACAATTGTTGGGCCGTGTGGTGACTGTGGTCTCTCATCGTGAGGGTTCATTGTTGTAAAGGGTTGTAAAGGCAGATGAGGATCATCGCCGATTTCCACATTGGGATCCGCGGGGCTTACGAATTCGGATGATGCGAGTCGCGCAACAACAAACCTTCGATGGAGAGAACAACACCGCATTTGCAATTGTCGACTTGTTGTTGACTGATGATCAATGGTTTGCGTATTTTGACAATGATGAGCCCTCGGGTTCTGTTCCGGCACCACGGATATCACGGGATGTTTGAGCTACAGACCGCTAGATCGTCAGTTACGTGGAAGCCGCGTCGACCTAAACCAATGATACCGTATTTTGACCATATAAGAGCATGTTATAGGCGAACTAGTGACAACAATGGCGGTCAGAATGACAACATCGCTTACTACCTGGACAACTACTATGAGTCTTTTTCGCCAGCAGCCAGTCGTCAGTTCCGGGCCTCCTCGACATCCTATGGAACAAGGCGGTCAAATGTGGAGATTCTACGATTGATGATGATTTTGGCTTCAGAGAGCTGTCGCTGTTCCCAGACCACCCGATAGTCATCTCCGTAGTATGTGACGAATGACCGCCATTCTTTGCTTCGTCTCTTATGACTAGACGCAGTCAAGAATAGAAACGCAGCTGATTATCACGATTTGCATCTTGACTACGTGGTGTCGTATTTCAAGCAAGGTAGTTCAATCAAGCTTATGAACGAGACACGGGAGTTTTATATGGACAGCAAGATCAACGGCCAATGCGAGTGTAATGAGCAAGTGCGTGAGAATGATATATTGCTTCCCATATGACAACAAGCCGACGCCACTTGTTGAGTATTTCCTGTTTTAAATTTCTTCTGCTGTGCTCCTCTTGCTTAGGAAAAGTGGCAAATAATTCAAAACCAGTGTCACGGAACGAAAATGTCTATGCAAAACAATAACAAATGATATGACAAAAAGACATGGCTTTCCTCCGTTCAGTAAAGACTTAAGCTAGCGAAAAGAAAATCAGTTCAGTTCCATTAAATAGCTCAACGGTGACTCTCTTTGATTATTTTTTCTTTCATTCTGGCCAACTTCTCATCAAATCCGATACAGACGACGACGGAACTCGCGATCTTACCAGTGTCGTCCTCGTATGCATACAGATATTCCCGTAGAAACGAGGAAACACACAGTACACTTCAATTGAGAGGGCTGAACGACGCCACACACCTACTTGGACCTCCAGGATGCCTACCTACCACAACCCGTGGAGGTCTCAGTAGGAGGAGGTGTCATCCAGCCCCAACGATCACACTTCCCACATGCCCCATTCTTCCAAGATCATCAATATGTCACAACGCCTAGATTTGCCCATTCCGTTCTGCACACTGACTGGGGATGATGACAAGATGTCACCACATGTGAATATTGAATGAATGTCGTCTTTGTGGATATTGCCCAAACACGCTTTGTCGAAATAATATGTTTTGTTTATTACTACGTTGTATTGTTCGCCACTTGGCTTCCATAATTGTTGATCATGTTGTAAATGATTCACTGACACAACTCAAGGAACGACTCAGTAGACGAACCGTAGGATACACCCGCGAAAACGGAATCTGCCATATTGACCATTAATTCTGCGGGTAAAGAGTGATCAGGGAACTGATAAGCAGCCAGAGGTATCAAAGCGGAAAGGCAAATATGGGCTGTTTACGTTACATCCAGTGGAAACAGAAGAGTCAGTACAATTAATATACGATTGAACCCGAACTTCCGTCGATATAGAGCTCATGACCAACCTCAAACCCTCCTGAATCGACTTTTCCGGTGGCGACAAAAGTTTTAATCTGCCAAGACGGTTCACGTGGGTGATCAACATTGGCGATGGTTCGAGCGGTGGCTGATTCTTGATTGTTGTGGTGGCCGGAAGTTCGGAAAAAAACAAGCATATCCGGGACGTGGATGGACCCAGTTCCGTAGGTGCTTCTTTCGGAGTTGCCAAAGTGCCCGGAAATTTGTGTTTCAAGCAAAGCGAGTTTCTAAACTGCTTCAAGGGGAACTGACTCAAACACATTGCCCTTTCCGATTTTTGTTTGCTGACTTTGGAGAATTGATGAACAACAACGCGCTTCCTTGTCTTCACGACCAAAAACAATGATTTTGACTCTCGGAGGTGTATATTGCGGTCGGATGCATCCATATTGCTGTCTCTTTTGGGGTTCGTAGATGCGTTGGTCGGGGCTAAGACCGAGTTGGAAGGTAGTTTTAGGTTCATCGCGGGAGCTTAAGTGTTTCGGGATGTGGGCATCGGTAATCGGGAAGATTAGATTGCCTTCCTGAAGAGGAATTGGGTCCCCGAGCTGGAGACTTTGTTAATTCTCGTGACAATAGATTGACTTTGACCTCATTGAGGGGTAATCGGGCCGTGACCGAGTTGTTGAGTACTTGGTAATGTGATCATGTCAAGGTGAATGAATCGGAGTGATCAGCAGTTGTTCCATTGCATCAGTGGGTTCTCAGATGTCTCCGCCGGTGAAGTCATGAGTCGTCGGGAAGAATGATCTCGTCCACCTCAACTTCCTTGCAATATGTGGTCTTCGTCTGCCGTGCCTCGACATTGTCGATCTTCACCTGAACGTAGCGCCAGTCAATTTTAGGCGGAACTCTCAAAGAGTCGGCGATGTGGCCGTCTTCATGTGTTGAGACCGGACGTATCGTGTATGTAGAATTGTGTAAAGTTTGGCTTACGCCACTTGCTACCAAGGTACCAAGTGGTAAGGTGGCGAGAGACTCAGCGAGTCATCCCGGCTTCAAGTGATCAGTATGTGATAGTGAAAAAGTGTCGAGTAAACAATTTTTGCTGCTGCAGATGCGCCTGCAGAGTAGTCTGAGTTTTGTTACACATTTCTGATTGCAATTTTCCGCTGCTCATCTCGAATATGCCATGTTGCGTGTCAAAAAGAATTATTTTCAATGTTTTTGTTCAACAATAATATGACTGAAGGAAACCTTCAAAATGACATTTCCAAGTGCAAAATGTTTACGCTATTTCTCAAAATACAAAATTTATGCTAATTACTAAGTGAAAACACTTGAGCATTCAAATTTGACGAGGCAAAGTAAACGTATGAATTTGGTAACAATAAACATAAATCTCCAGTAAGACCAGTGAGGTTGGCTTGTAAATCGTCCGAACTATTGGACTTGGAGAGGTTCATCTTAAGTTTGCTGTCTCTCACAGACATTGTGTCAAGACCTGAACGTTTCTCTAAGGTTAAACGGCATGCATGTCAATCAAACAGAACCAGAAAGCTTAGCGCAAGTTGAAAGTCTGCAAGTTGGAAGTAAAAGTCGATTTCAGTTGCAAGTCATGTTCACCGTCATATGCAGAATGTTTTCAAAAGAACTCGATTTAGATGTGCTAGCAGCAAACATGCAGATTCGAGCCGTTTCCGGCGCGGAACTATGTACACAGGAATTGTCCACGTCTAGTTATGGATTTGCTTCGCTCTCATCGTCCTCCCCGCGGCGTTTCCCATGCAACCAGTTCATACCGCTAGCTTGAAGACTTAAGAGTTTGAAGAATTAAGCCCTTTCGTGTATGTGAGGAAAAAGTTGGTCTATATGTGGAAGGCACAAAATGAAACACCCAGTTCGCCCGCAACCCATCCCTTTATGCAGACTCAAGGAAAACCGTTCTCAACCCAATGAATGTGTTCGTGATGATGTTAGATACGTGAGATTTAGACACCAGAGTCCTCCTGCTCGATGGAGTACTCCTCCTGGAAGGTGGACCAGTTGGTGCAGACGTTCTCGAGAGAGGTGGAGTCGGTGAGGGCGGTGATCTCGTCGTAGCGCTCGACGAACTGCATGGAGAAACCCTCAGAAGTGTGCCAGCCGATGTGGCAGTGCATGAGCCAGGCACCCGGGTTGTCGGTCTCGAAGGCCATGACGAGGTAGCCGGAAGAAGGAAGCATGGCAGTATCTCTTCTGGGAGGGTTGGTGGTGTTGAGGGAGACGGAGCTGGAGTAGGTACCGGAGCCCTGAGCCAGGATGAAGAAGTCGTGACCGTGAAGGTGGATGGGGTGGGGGACGGCCAGAGTGGTCTCAATGACGAAGTAGATCCACTTGTTGGCCTCGGAGAGCTCGATGACGGCGTCGTCGGTCTCCCAGCTGGTGGTGCCGTTGACGATCTGGAGGAGGGTCGGGTCGGCCCAGTCGACGAGCATGGAGGTGCTGTTGAGGTACCACTTGAAGAGGCCAGCGGTGTTCTTGCCGACGGTGGCGGACTCGAGGTCGTTCCAGTTGGCGTCATCAACAGACTTGGAGAGGTAGGGGACGAGGTTGTCGGTCTCATCGTCGCAAGAGTCGGTGTAGTCGTAGGCAGAGGTGGTGGGGGTGCCGATGGTGCTGGTGTAGGCGATGATACCCTTGATGTTGTCGGTGCTGTCGTTGTCAGAGCAGGCAGCCTGGGGGATGGCGCGCATCCAGAAGTTGTCGGCGGTGTCGGCCTGGTCGGCAGTGACGATGATGTCGTAGCGCTGGCCCATGCCCATGTCGAGGACGGTGGTGGTGTAGGGCGTGATGGGGACAAGGTCGGCAGCGATGACGGTCATGGTGTGGTTGTCAATCATGAACTTCCAGTGGGTGTCGACGGCAGCGTTGACGAGTCTCATGCGGTAGGAGGTACCGGAGGTCCAGGTCATGTTGAAGCGGGTACCGGTCTGGGTGGAGTCGCCGTCATCGCCGTAGACGTTGGTGCCGTTGATGAGACCGTTGTCCAGAGTCGGGGGACCGGAGGTCTCGGCGGTAGAGTAGAGCTCATCGACAGTCTGGTGGTCCCAGTCGTTCAGGAAGACCATGCCGAGATCCTCATCGTAGTTGGCAGTGGCGGGACCGTTGATGATGATACCACCGAAGATACCCTGCCAGGCCTGGAGGGCGAAGTGGGAGTGGTACCAGGTAGATCCGTACTGGGTAGCTCTCCAGGTGTAGGTCATGGTGTTGTTGGGCGCCAGAGGGCACTGGGTGATGGAGCTGACACCATCGGCCTCGTTGGTGTAGTTCTGGCGAATGCCGTGGAAGTGAATGCTGGTACCGTTGTTGGAGGTAGTCAGGGAGTTGGTGACGTGAACGGTGACAGTGTCACCCCAGTCAGCGAACAGGGTGGGACCGGGGATAGAGCCGTTGACGGCCATGGCGGAGCGGGAGACACCATCGGGAGAGACGGTGACGTCGGTGAGCTCGAGCCAGTACTCGCGGGTGACGCCCGTGTCGGGGACGGTGTTCATGTAGTCGGTGCTGGTGTCGTAGTCGCACCACTCAGAACGAGTGCTGGCAGTGTTGCCACTGCAGGCCGCACGAGGGTAGAGCTTGGACGGGAAGGGAGAGTCCACAGCGGAAGGGAAGGCAGAGGCCAAGCCGGCGAGGGCTCCGGCCACGAAGAGAGACTTGAGCATTGTGAGGGAGTGTGAAGTGCCAAGAGAAGGTAAAAGAAAGACTGGATGACACAAGTAGGAAAAGAGTGAAGGAAGCAAAGAGCGAATGGAAGCGCAGAGCGAACTGTGCTGGGTGGTGAGAGAGTGGGAATGGAGTCAAACAACCGACGGGCCGCAGAGCTTATGTATTCCGCACGTCAACCGGCTCACGGCAAGAGCGATAGTTCACAGAGTCTAAAAACTCTATTACCCCAGTGAATGGCTTCACGTCTCCAGTCTCCCGTAGAGCCGCTCTTGCCGGTATCCATAGGACCATAGCTCCTCGGACTTGCCCCAGTAGGTTATGATCGTCATGCATAGATTCAGCGAGAGAAAGCGTCTATGGATCACGGCAATATCTCACGATGATTCCCATGTCGAAAGAAGGATGTTTCTGAGACATGCCCCTATGTGACCCATGCGTGGCTGTACGGGGTCGTAAGATGGTACGTGTTGGAGACGTGTAAATGAACCGCAGTTGGGCTGACTCGTAGCAGCTATAGACTAATTCGCAATGCTAGGGCCAGCGTCAAGGAGAAGCTGGGCAAAGAGGGGGGTGTCAAGGAGTCGCTTGGGGCTCGACCCGCTGCAGCCTCACAGGGCCGACATCCAGGAATCCAGGAAGGGCCGGTTGTGCCGTTCGGTCGACGCTTTGAGCCGTGAATGACCGGGTTGACCGACCATCCGGAAGTGTGGGAGCGATCGGAGCTCCATGCCCGGCCGATGAAGTCTCCACTTCGAGACGCTGATTTTAGAAACTTCCGACTCCGCTGAACGGGCGAGGTTGTCTGTGCTTGAAGGGGGTGTTCGTCCTCGCCAGGAACACGTTGCGCAGCCTCCTTGATCTTACGTGGTTTCGCTCGAAGCCATCCCCCTTTTGCGATGGTCTCGACCTATAATATCCCTGCTATATATCAAGAACCCGCAAAAGCCCCATAGATCTTGGACCCCAGCATGGCCCCCGTTCATCCCACATTCCGAAACACCACTCCCGGCTTGACATGTCCCCCGCTTCCGGGATGTGCCTAGCTCCCGATAAACGACAACGGCGCTTCCACGCTTTCTGGTTGGCCCAGGGCCGTTTCCGTCCCATCAGCTTCGAAAAAGCTTGGCCAGTTGCCGTCACGGCAATGACCGACGCGTCAAGGACATGCAGGAGATACAGGAGAATTGATGCTAGATCACCTCTCCACCTGATATCACAGTGGAGTCTAAGCCTCATCAACATACTTCCCTGAACATGCGGAAATCGGCCCAGTACCAAAGCGTATGTGCGTGCCCAAGTTTGTCGAAGTCCAAGTTGCGTCTTTGCCAGGAACAGAAGCTGTGAAGGTTGTGTCGCATCTGGCTGGGTAGCTCGTGCCGGGAAGAAACCCCGAATAAAATTTGCAACCTTGTATAGGGAACTCCGGCATGGAGACGCGGCTTGCACGGATGACTCGACAATGCTCTGCGGTTTTTATTTAATCAACACGACCTCCCCTCAGCCAACTCCCTTTTAGGAACCCCACCTCTTCACCCACACTCACCTAGTCCATCCTTTTCTCTCGCTCTTCTCCTCGAGTCTCTTTTACAGCCTCATCCAATCGTTTAGCCGACCTTCCACTCTCATTTTCACTTTTTTGAAAAAGACAATCGCAACCATGCAGCCCGTCGCATCCGTTCTTCTGTCCCTCGCCGCCCTCGCGGCCGCTGCTCCCTCCTCGGAGCGTCGCGCCGTCGCGGCTGACAACTCCAGTCCTTTCCAGGTTTACGCCTATGGCACCGGAATTGGAGGACTTGCCATGTTCTCCTCTGGAGGTGGGTCCGGTACTGTATCATTTCGAGCTTCTTTTCGAGGGTTTTACAATACCTCAACGCATGTAAATAGGAGCTTTTAGGCTCAGAGTGCACGCCCCCCTGTTCTCGTTTGTCCGGCTTTGAAGCTCTTCTTTTGAAATCCTTGTCCTACTTTGATATTAACGGAGAATCAATAGGCGATGCTTACTTCGGCGACCACACCAAGTTGAACGACACCCAGGCCGCCCCTGTCATCTGTAAGTCACCGCGCCCATACCCTGGCATGAACATGCTGACTGACCGTTGCAAAGTCACCCCCAATGACAACAACACCTGGACCGGCGCTCCCAACACCACCGCCATTGGCAACAGCACCACCCCTCCCACCTGGTCCAACCTGCCCTTCTCCATCCCCAGCGAGACCTCTGGCTCCCACGACGTCGGTTTCTCCAACTCCAGCTCCACTGACCGCCAGACCTCCGGTTTCACCTTCTACGGCTCCTTCATCTTCGTCGACAGCACCTCCGGTGGCGGCATGGAGTCCCTGTGGTATGCTACGCCCAGCAGCGTCGACGGCATCTACAACCTCAAGTGGAACCAGACCGGCGACGACTCCGCCAACAAGATCACCCTCACCCTCAAGAAGACCCCTCCCTCCAACGCCCAGATCACCACCGCCGAGGCTGAGACTTCCGCCTAAGCGGAGTGCCCTCTCTTGGACGCTTGAGATCTCTCACCATCAAGGTGGAGGACTCAGGCCTGTGTATACTTGCTTCTTGGGCCTTTGCGCATCTTTCTTCCCTTCTAACTTTTTTCTTCGCAGTTTGCCGCCTGGAGGCGCACCTTGTTGACTGCCGTATGACTCTCACGGGGAAATATTCGAGGGCCAGGATGGCCTGGGCTAGAGAAACCTCTATGGCCACCTATGGGGGTATATGAAGAGAGCGCGAATCGCCTCGATTACAGGGGGCAGGTATCTCCCTCTTCACGCTGCCACAACCCATTACACCAAAATGCCGAAGCAATACTACATTCACTACCTCTGTGACCGCCTCAAGAGCGGTGACAGCCTCACCCAGCTCATCAGAGAAAAAGAGCATGATGTCTGCAAGTTTTGAAGCAAACGCCCTTTCCCTCAGAACCGCAACAAATTCGAAGAAGCATTGTTCTTCTGTCGCCTACTGGCATATGTCATCCTCCGCCGATACGGCCGTAATGATCCAATATTTTGAGAAGAGATGGGCCTTTGCGCATTTCCAAACGTTGCAGGCGTTTTGTAATGTGTAGTGGCGGAATCTAGGGATCATTCAATGGGAACACGTAGCGGGATAGAATTTGGGAGTGCGAAATAAAACATGGCTTGAAATTCTTTTTCATTTCTGATCTAAACCATTTGCCGGTTCATGTGCCAAACAGAGTCATCATCGCTCGTGACGTTATAAACTAGTAGTACAAAGTATGCCTTTTTGCCTCATTTAAATCCTTCAGCGACGTTCGCTCGCAATCGCCTCTGCAGAAACAGGCGGCAGGTTCTCCGCAGGCGTGATGTTCTCGGGGTTGCCGCTATCACCGCGAGCACCGGGAGCAACACCAACGTCGAGGCGACGGTCGCGGAAGTTGTCCTTGCCAGAGGCCCCGACGCCCTCAAGACCAGCGCTCTCCTTGGCGCGGTGACGGACATTATAGCCGCGCATCTCGTTGCTGGTCTGGCCCTGGACAGGCTTGCCCAGACCAGTGTGTACGTCAGCCGACGTAGCGCCGGGGAAGTCGTGAGCCGCCGTCCGACCTGAAGGGTCCACGTTGGGGTTCAGGGCCTGGCCGGGGGTCTCGGAAACTGCGTTGGGCTGGAAGGTATTTTCCCGGGGTGCGGTGCCTGCAGGGTAGGCCTGGGCGTGGAACTCAGGGTATGCGTCGTTTCCGACCTTGGTGCCGGGGGCATGCTATGTTGGGGTTAGAATGATGTGCGCTTCAGGTGAGAGTGGTTGATTGTGAACTTACGCCCTTGGTGGTAAGAGGCTCGGAGCGAGGGACGCTGGGGTGGAATTCGCCCTGCTTAGGGTTGACGGAGTCGATGTTTCTGGTGGCCGACATTTTTATGATGTGAAAGTAACGTTATGGATTCGAGAGATGTTGTTTGTTGATGATGGGATTGGATATTTCTGTGATCGCGGATGGTTTGATTGTGTAGAATAGGAGGAAGACTAGCTTGTCCAACTGAAGGCATTCTCTTAAGTAGCTTGTTGACAGCCGCAAAATCGCCTCGATGAGATATCTTGTGGGCGGTCGTGACGCAACATCACAATTACATCACGGTCGCGGAGGATGAGATAAGAGCACCACTTTTCCTGTGGAGCGATGAAGTCAAATCGCGGCAAAGACCCTCATGATGTCAGAAAGGCCGCTTGTCGACAAAGACAAGAGATGAATAGGCAACTGATGGCAAATCGAAATCGAAATCTGATGCAGGGTCCAATGTTTTTTGGGTGGGTGTGTGGTTGGGAGATCCGATAAGCGCAGAAGCACTTCCCATTACTGATGCGGACGTTTTAGTCCGGTCGGGCTCGATCTGTTTCGGTCTGTGTCGGTCTGTGTCGGTGAATAGACCGAGACCCACAACTTCACCGAACTGGAGAAGATAGGGGCGGGGCGAAGGCGACATGACGCAAGTCCCAACCCACTTCTTGCGGCTGACAGCTTGTTTCAAGATGTGGGACCAACCTCGTTCGGGAATCTTCCAGATCTGCATCTTCCTTGGCTTCAGCCTCATCAAGGCATGCTCTGCATCATGTCGTGGGTTGTCCACAATGATAACATCGATTGAGAGGCGTTAGCATGAAGTTTTCGATATCACACTGCTGGATCTTCAGGCCATGCTCATGCGGCTTGAAGTCGGTGCGTCTGTTCAAGTTGGTGCTGCCCTAGGGATCAAAGGACCACCTCTCTGGCGAGCCTCCTCTTCCATCATATCTTCAATACCCCGCAACATATCCAGTCTCTCCGTATCGTTCGCCTCCTCGCACCATTCCCTCAACTTCTTCATTTGACGTTCAGCGTTTGCTCTGTTGGCCCACGGAGCGTTCGCATAACACCATATGGATTGGAAAAGAAGACTGCGAGCTTGGTGGCGGTCCTCCGTGTTATTACGAACGTAGCGGCAATCCGCCAAGTAGGCGCAGCTGGACCCGTAGTAGAGCTTCGCGTGTGACCCCTCCACGTGCTCGTTCAAATCAAAGTATTCCTGCGCGCGTTTGTAGAACACCTCCGCCATATCCAAGACGTCCTTCTCCCCAGGTGCCACTATTGAGAGATACGCAATAACGTATCGGTGGAAATCCAGCACAACCTTTGGTTGGTCTTCGTGGTGTAGTGTAACGTGTCGGGTGATCTCAAGAGATTTTCTCCGGATTTTATTGTCCGTCTTGTGGATTGATTTAGCCTTTCTTGCGTTGAGTAGAAGGATGAGATAAAAGCCGACGAGACTGATCGAGCCCAGGGTCTCTTCTACTCTATCTTCAAGACGGTAGCAAATCTGTTCCATTGACGACTGAAATTCTTCGTGGTTTGTGATAAAAACAAGATGGCGAAGCTTTCGTATAAGCTGGGCAAAATCATGGTGGGTCCCAGGATTTGTTTGGGAAGTCTCAAATAAAAGTGTAACCAGCTCTTGGATCGTAGTCCAATTCGTTATCTGGTTCAACGTGCTTAAGACCCCGATTGGTACCGTCGCGTGGAATGATGTGATCATCTCTTCGACTGTCTTACCGGCAACAGTTTTGCATTCCCCCACCTTTAGTTGACGATTTACCAGAGAGCTGCGTAGTTGACTTTCGAATCGAAGTTTGGAGTGGAGGCTTTGATATATATCGACGTGATCATCGGGCGCTGGCCTGTCTCGACGTTCCGCAACTAGTGTCGCGAGTATTTCGCTAGCTAGTCTCACGATCTCTTGGCATGTCTGTGGGGTTGTGAGGTTTTCGCCATCTTGAGAGCCGGTAGGAGAGAGGTCCCCTACCGTAGTTGCCGGCGTCAATGGCCAAGGTTGTGGACGGGGAGAAAGCGTTTCCGAGTATTCGGAGGCGGCATCGTTGGTTATTGGGGACTCTTCCGGTGGTGTTATCGCACGGGCGGGGTCTGGTGGTAGTCGGCGAGGGATGATGCTATCGTGAGAAGGGATGTCGAGGTCGTTTGGCAAGGGAGGTGGTTGTGATGGTCCTGCGGGTGATTGTTCTCGGCTGTCTGGCCCACCGTCCCCCGCATCTCGTCTATGCCGTCTGTTCTTTTCGACTCCCCACGTCTTGAAGCGACCCTTAAACATACGATCCCTGAAGAACTAATAAGTACTTTGCATTGAACCGGTGGTAGAAATATCTCTCACGTGGCCAAGAACCCGTACGTCTCCCTCATATGCGCCCGGACCGCCTTCAACGGCCGGCGCGAGTACATGTCAACAATGACGGAGCGGTGTTGCTCCCATTGCTGGGCAGTCGGCGGCGTCACCATGATGGACGGGCGAGCAGCTCCGTGTTCAGCAAACAATCTCGGTCACCGGCGACGGAACACAATACGACGCGAACAGTGCGTCCAGACTCGGGAGGCGTTGGGACATGGAGCGGTGAATGTGGGCAAGCAACGGCGGCGGCGCGCGAACTACGGATGTCGACATGGGGGGTTTATGAAGCTTGTGGCACAGAATATGTGCATTTCCGGATTGGTTAAGGTCTGGATGGAGCTGCCACGACTTAGCTGCATGTCAGATTCGCGAGCGGTCCAATCACGACAAGTCGCTTGTCCAGAGAGCCATAAAATCCATCCCACATTCGCCAATTAGGCTCAAGAATTAAGTACTGTGCAGGAACAAGGGTGATTTTGGGTTCGCCCGTTGAAAAAACTCGTGATGGCGAACCATCGTGTTGGTGTGAAGGCAACCTCATACTCTAGGACAAGGCAAAGTCTTGGGGCGGATGTGCTCATGTTATGCTGTGACAATGGGGCGAATTTTTGCACATTGTGATTGTTGCATTGTTTAGTTTCTCAATTACAATTCGTCAATTTTATGCGTCGATGAGCTGGCGACTGCTTAGTCCCGCATCTCTAAGGCCATCTGGTCGCAGGCAGTACCCAATGTGCCCCTCCACGATGAACAGATTTATAAACAAATGCAGATCGGCCTCTCAATTTTTTGCAAAACTCGTTTGCGTAACGAATCATATGACAAAACAGGATTTTATATCATACAGTCTAATGGGCTGTTGACGGAACACAAGAAGAGGCTCTGCGGAACGTCCGGCGATTGACACGTGTGTTGGCTGGCGAATCGGGGCCGATGTCAGCACTTGGCCAATCCGCTCCGTATCCGATCCGATAACCACGATAAGCAATTCTCCATTGCGATTCCAGCGTTCAACGGGGTTTTCGGTAGTGCGTTTATGCTGAATGGTGGTCAATCGCAAGCCTCATCCAACGCCCCAAACCATCGAACACCAATGAGGCCCTGTGGCGTCCACAAAGCGCCTCGTTTCGAAATGGCAATGTGAATGACGTCCCGGAACATGCAAAAACTCTGCGTCATTTGGCGCTGACAATCTGAAGCATTTAGGCCAGAGTGCAGTTACGCAACGGCAGGTAATGGTTGATTTATGTGTGATTTATGTAAACTCTTACTCAAATCACCACCACACTTTGTGCCAATCGAAACAGAAGAGTCACCGTCGAAGTAGAAGTTACAAGACCGCAAAAAACATTTTTCCATGTGGCACAGAAACCTCAAGTTCTCCGACGAATGCTCAAGGAGCTTTTTTACCATTGCCTCCCTATCCTGCATGCGATCGGCATTTGATCCGGACGAAGGCGAATCATGCCACAGGGACGGGGCTTGTATCTAGTTCTTATCCTCGGATCGTCTTGGTTCAATTCGCATCGGGTAACGATCGTACAATGATAAGTTCCGATAGTCCTACTAACACTAGACGGCGAGTCGTTAGCTGTGTTCCAGAGAAACTCTGCAATACTAAAAATGGTTCCACTTAGCTGAGCAAGTTTCTCTAAACCGCACCAACACTTAGTCAAGACCATCGAATAGGCTTTGACCTTATTCAGACTACAGGCCAACAGAAAGGTATAGCCGTCAGAGGTACTGTGCTCAAATGAAATCTTTTGAATGGACTGTTCCGAAGTTCGCGCCGTTGTCCGCCAGGCAGCTGTGAAGACTGGTGGTGACCCAATAACGAAAGGTAATAAAAGTAGAGTTCATGCATATTTTGCACTTGTCTTTCGATCCAAATGCTTTG